ACGTTATTATTTGTATTAAGGGAGGATTTACAGATCCACCAGTGCCTCTTTGGACTATAAGCATGGCAAACAAAAAGTAACATGATGCTTTTCCTGGAAAGCTTATAGTCCAATCAAAAACTAAATGTTACATGTAATGAACAAGACTAAGGACCTGACAAAGCAAAGAGGAAATTGGGAGTCTAGAGCTATAGTCATTAATTACACCATAGAAAACACAGGTCTGGCCAAGGGACTGAAAGGAGAATTAGACAACACAAGGCAGATTTTGAAAAGGGCCTTGAAAGAAAGGGCAAGAATTATTATTTAGAGTGATCAGAAAACGGCTTTAAGTGCAGAGGGGAAAACTATCTGGATGCCCCAGCTGCTTCCCCATCTCTGTAAGGGGCAGTGTAATCATAGCTTCGAAAATATACACCACTAACATCCCACCAAAACCCACCTCAATCTAAGTATAGTACTGAAATAGCAAGAACATTATGAGCTCAAAACAGACATACCAGCCCTGAGACTACTGAATTTGCTGTACCAATTACCTATCCGCAATATTACATATTCTCCAACCAAATACTATTAGTGTGGTTCTCAAAGCAATTCAAAGAGATGGCTGTACTCCATCAAATCATTTTTGAACATCCCACAAGCTTTCAAGAGAATCATGGTTCTTAAGAGTAAAGCAAACAAACCATTTGGTCACATGTTTCAGTACAATCTGTTTTTCAAAAACTTGTTTCTTTCTTTCATGTTTTTTCTACTTGTATTTTTATATTTGTTCAGAAAATCTTTGCATTTCTAAAATGCCGGGTTTTTTTTGTTCTTTTAAGAGAGCAAAAGGTGGTTTCCAACACTCCATTAAACAAGGACTCACATCTGCCTGTCTGCAGGGAAAGCAGGCTGAGGCATCAAAAGTATTGCAGTTAGTGAATTTAATCCTTCTGATGCAATCAGTCTACAATGTGATCTGATTAAATTTAAAGACTCAAACCTGAAGTCCAGTACTTCAGGTCCAGAGATAAGTAGACAAATAGCATGAAAGAGCGGTCTGCTGTGGGCTTTAATAAACCCTAGACTCCACACTTCAGGTTAAGATTTCTAAAGAATGCAAGCCAGGTGGATTGATTTAACACAGCATTAAAAAAACATCTGGGAAAGAAAAACATGTACATCAAAAAATAATGGTGAGACAATTTTCTCAGTGTAAAATAATTAGTGGAATGTGTGACATACAAAATAAATTTCTGCACATATACCCACACTGCCACCATCAGCCTCACTTTCTCATTTATTTAGGTGAACCTGTAATTGGCAAACAGGCACTTACTCATGGATAACAGTGGAGGTGCTGAGATGCTGGAGACTTCGACACTGCTGCAAAATAGAGTATGTGCTCATATATGTTTGTGCAATGGACACTTGCTGTGCAATATTATCTTGTCTCTACAGATAAATTAGTTGCATCATACTCCTGCCAGTTTGATTTGTTTAGCCTTTACGGAGTACAGAGCACATGCGGTTTCTTGTGATTGCATCTCACATAAAAGGTAAACCTGAGAGTTTATTCTACACTATGCTATACATCCACCAAGGCAGCTAGAGCATTTGCTGACTTGAAGTTGAAAAGAAGGCTATAAAATATACTGGGGAAATCTTGAAACATCACTCACTTGACATCGCAATAAGAGCCCTGCATTAGGATGCAGAGCTGATTTCCCTGATCCATGAAATTGCCTGGATATTTAAGGCATTCTCAAACAGAACCGGCATGAAGTTCACCCTCCTTTCCTGGCACAAGAACACCATGGATTTTGTGTTCTCTAAGAAAAACTGAGCGCAAAATTGCAGAGATAAATATTCTTTAAGAGATGACCTAAACACAATTTCCTTCCATTCTCAAGCAAGAAGAAATGAGTATTCAAAATGTCTTTAATGCTGGAAGATGGTTATGCTTGATGACACGCTGCTTAGATGCTCAGATTCTCTGTTGTAAGGTGGTGCAAGAATTTCTTACAATAAAACACAAAGTCTGCAAGTCTTGACCACCTTTGGAGAAGGACATAAACAGGTGATAGGGCTGGAACAGGCACAATCTGTAGACAGCTATGAAAAAGATTATGAAGCAATATATTTATTATTTTATGGTTTGAGACCTGGGACATGATTCAGAATTCCTCGGCAAATGTGTATTTCCAGTTGCTAAATGGTAGGAAAAGACCCATCTACACTTCCAAAGTATTGGTGAGATGAAGGTCAGGTATAAGTATAATTTCTTCCAAAGACCCATTCAGTGCAAACACCCAGACTGCAATAATGGGGGAATTTGAAAGGACCATAAGCTTCCCTAGAACACCATCCTGCAGGCTCTGCTAGCTTAGATTCAAAGGAGGACAGTATCCCCAAGGAACAGAGTACAGCAATAATGGAGCTACATGTTAGAGTATAAATACGTTCCTGTTAGGTAACTAGGAAGTTTTTTGTTCAAAGGGCACCACTGGAGTATCCTGACATGTGACTGAAACCTGCACAGGCCAGCAGGCTTCACACCAGCATAATGAACATGTAACATTGGCAGACAATCTTATCATTGATTGCTATCCAAAATCACAGTGAAATGGTAATCTCCTTTAAACCTGGTGCATGCATTACACACATAATTTTTGGCATCTCCATAGCAAAGAAAGACCTGAGACTCATACTGAAACTGAGGTCCAAGATTTTTCTTGGACATGGATTACCATTCATTCTTGTTGACAAAGAAAGAGAATTTCCTAATCTTTTTCAGATAAAATATCTCAGTTTTCATCTTCAGCTAGGCTGATAGCTCTTCCCATTTTGTAGTTAAGCTTTGCACTGACCAGTTTAACAGACAGTATGGTTCCCTCGATTCCTATAATTCTTTTCCTACGTAGCACATACAGTAGCCTATATTTATACAGGTATACAGAATTATACAAAATACAAATGGAAAGGACTCCTGAAGCCATCTGGTATATGAACCCATTCAAGGCAAGATCAGTTACACCTAATTAGCTCCTGACATACGCTTGCCTACCCTGTTGAAACAGAGACTCCACAAACTCCCCTGGATATTTATTGTGATGCTTTGGTATTCTTACTATTAGAATGTTTTTCCAATGTTTAGTCTGTACCAGGAATTTAAACTACAAGTTCCCTTAGAGGAAGACTGGATTATTACACATTCTCATACATGAATAAAAACACATACAGAAACACAGGACACATTGAATTTAAGGTTCATAAATTATTTGTAGATCACTTAGGTGGTTTTTCAAACTTTCTGATTTAAAACAGTTTAAATGGAACCAGCTATTTATGCATCCACCCCATCGTTCACTTTGAAGATTATGATCACAGTAATTTCTTCTCCAATTCAAGTTTTGAAAGCTGTAAGTTCTATGAAGAAAATAGTTGTTGGCATTTTTGGATGATAAACATCCCAAAGTGATGATGATAAATTACAGTGTTGCCCAGTGATGCAGAAAAATAGAGAAACACAAACTGCTAACCTCTGATTTATGAGTACAGACTCTTTATTACAGAGTCTCGGGGTTCACAGCTGTAAGAGCAGGTCATTTTCATCTCATTGCTTATTAAAAGTGTGAGAAAGAAGCATGAAAGGTGGCTACCATTTTGCAATGTATCGGATAGATTAACAGGTGATGCTCTTTGTCTCGAGTATGAATATAAAATGATATGGAATTTCTTGCCTTTTTAAGGCCTAGATAAGCATTTGTTACTGTTCACAATTACAGAAGATGAGAATTTTTACATCTAGTTTTGCTCATTCATACTAGCAATTTTTCTCACATTTTAGTATAAGCTTCCCTATAAACCTTTTCTTTACACAGAAAAAAACATTTGTCCAAGATATTAAAAGAAATCCTGTCATCTCATTGTTAAAACATGTTGTTATTAGTGACAAAATTTACTTCAGAAACTATTTAAACTGAGACTTTCACCTACCAACAGGCATTCCCAGTGAAACCCACCCAGTGCACTCTAAGTCACGAGCCGAGGAATCTCTTTTGTCACAGTACTGAAGTAAATTTTACCACATTCCTCCATCACTCCTCAGCTTCCCAAAGCTTGGGGATTTTCTGATTTCTTCTCTCTCCCTATTTCCTCTCTGCTAAATATTCAAAGCAGGCAACAAAAAGTATAGGAAAAATAAGGTCAATACAGCAAATTGGAAAGAAGTAAAATGTTTCTATAAGCCATCGTTTGGTTGTTACAGTTATCTTAATCAACCCAAACAGCTTGAGACATCTAATTTGATTTTACAAAGTGCTAACCCATGACCATATTTGACTTTCCTTTGATTCCAAATGTAAAAAATAGCCTTTATCTAATGTTCAGGCATATAATCTAACTACACATACATTTGCATTTGCATTACGAGGCAGTGAAACATGGCTGGAGAGCCATCTTGGATGTTATCTATGTTATTACTCAAGTGGAGAGTATAATCATAAATCCTTCTCTTCCCCTCCACCCCCCTGCCTTTTTTTCAGAAGTACACTTAAAATCTGTTTTTAAGCTTCACTGGCTCCATTACATTTGAACTTCAGTAACAAGAATGTGATATGAATATGTAGAGAGAAAGCATAGACAAAAGGTATATTTTCATAATGTGGTTCAGTTTAACTGTTCCTATAATTAGCTACAATTCATTAGGCAATAAAAACACAAACAAAGAGATTATGAATGGAAGGGCAATATTTTCTCCATGAAAAAAACCAAAAAACTTTAACAAATGCCTCTTTTCTAAGGCTTTCCTTGCATAAATACACCCAGCAGCTTAGAAAAGATATTTTCATGATTGAAACTTTTTTCTAGAAAGAAAACCTGCAAACATTATCCTGTGCTATTTCAATAAAAAGTATTTACAACTATTGTACACTTGGGATTTTTTGATCTCAAGTATAAAATAACAATACAGCAATGGTCTGCAGATGACTAGCTTTGATCTTATATTAGTTCTTCTAATTGTCTCTTAATCTGTATTCTGCACAATAAGCACTCACCTTCACTGTTTGTCCAGCTTCAGGGCCATCCTATAAGAAAAGGGAGAAGTCTCAGGTTAGAGGAACTAGTAAGGATCACACAGGCATTCAGAAATCTTACTCAATAATCATTTATGTCCAATTTCATCGTATGTTAATTCAGCATATTTTCCTGGGGAATACAAAGTTTTTGGACAAGGCACCTTTCCATATCAGGCCATGGCAAAGTGAGAAACTGTATCTTAGACCACAAAAATGACAGTTGTTATTTTTAATTCTTTCACATCTTATTTTTTAATAGCTAGGAATAGATTTCTGGTCCTTGTGAATATAAAATCAGATGCATAAGTGAGAATTTAATCAAAATGGTTGCTTAAATTCTTATTCTAATGAAATGGGCTTAGTCTCCTGATTTGCTTCGAACAGAGCTCTTTTTTGGTATAAAAATACCCAGTTGAAATAACTGAAAGGTCAGAACTGATAACATATTTACATGGCTACATCTCTCTGCCTCCATATAAATAGCTGTGAGCAGGAATTACCTGTTTCCATCACAAGCAGTCAGTTACCTACTGAACAGAGAGACGTGGCTGCCTTCTCTAGATCAACTCTTCAAACACTTCTTTGAAGGAAAAGTATTTGCTCAAGCAAGTACTCACAAGCAAGCACTGCATTTGGGTTCTGCTGGTTTGCCTCTTAGGTTTTTTTCAGTGGCAAACCTGGCAGACTGCAGTGCAGTTATCGTGCTTTTTTTTTTTTTGGTTATTTTTTTGCATTTATTGCCCCTTGAAGTTTGAATGTCCTTTTGTCATTGGATTAGGGAAGTAGGTTGAAAGCTTGATAAAACAAACCATTAAACCCTTTTTAGTTGACTGGTTTACAAACCTGAATTGAAATGGTGAGCGAGGTGCCGCAGAAGTGTTTCTCCACCACATTGCCAACCCTTTGCACCGTACGAAATAAATCGGCCACTTCCTCAGGACACAAGTCACGGAAACGCTCCACTGGCCGTAGAGGACAAACAAGGACATCTGGAGGTGGTATTGTCAAGGCACAAATGCAGGTCTGAGTCGTCCTGATGGGCAAGTGCCTCAATCCCCAGCCTGTAACCTACTTCTGATCACTTCCGAATTGTCTAAAGTCCTCCTCTCCAAGGACTACAGCAAGAGCAACTAAAATAAGGTTAAACACAGGGAATCGTATGATGCTTTGTTCTGAAGAAGTTTCCTCAGACCCCTCAGATATGGGCAAAAATGACTAATATAAGGTCCATATATTACTACTGAGACATCTAAAGGAAAGAAAAATACTCACAGACCCGAAGTTACCATTTTGATAGAGAGATGCTCCTATTTAACACCTCTGAAAGTCAGACATTTCCTTCTGCAATTAAAAAGGGGGGAACGCCAAAGGAATTTAAGATGGGTTTGGATGTGTGATCTGAGACAGAAGTTTTACAATGATTTTCCCCATGTGGTACATAGTGTTTAAAACCTTGATCTTACACCTCTAATTTTAGGTACCTAAACATGAGAAATGCTGATACTATGCTGATAATAGCAGATCACTTATTTCTACATCACATTAATTACCACTCACAAGGAATGCTCACCTGTTATAATTGTTCTATGTTTTCAAAAATACTTTAAGATAATTAAGACTATCCCCTTTTAAGCACGGTGTTCACAACACTGCAAATATACTTTGACTTTATTCTACCTTCGTGGCTGCACTTCATGAGTTAGTGAAACGAAGTTATAAAGTAAACAATGGCAGTATACAGGTGCTATTCACAGTCACCTGATCTGCTGTGTTCACAGAAATTAATAATTGCTATGATTCCTCACTTGAAAGTTAATTTTGTAACATTATTAATAGGGTCCAGAATTCTTAGCAGAGCTTCAGTTGTGTAAATCCAACAAGCAAGCACTTGGGACTTCATTATTATTTCAACTCCCTGCAGACAGGATTTTTTTTCTGACTTACAGTATTGTGTTTGCAGAATAAAGACCTTAAAATCACCTTTAACATCACTTGAACTTTCATGACCAAAGGCTATGAAAATTATAAACTTCTTATTTTTTCAGTATTAAAACAAGTGTTCAAAGGACTATTTGAAGAAAATTAAGTACCATGCTATTGTATTATGGTCATTTTTACTTTTACTGCCTCTTGAAGCCTGCAGGCATTCAGGAATATTCTCTGTACTCCACGAAATGTAACTGGGAGGTGCTCTGCAGTTAACAGGTTCACACAAAGGTCACATGAACTTGATTTTCAAGAACGGCATGAGATGTTTGAAATAACGAAGGATTAATACATGCAGAATATAATTTATTTCCATAAATACAGATACAACACGTTTATATTCACCAACTTTATCACAGGAGTCACATTTATAATTCTGATTGGAGGGAAAAACAGAGGTATTCTGGAGGTAAAGAAGTAGGGGCAAGTTTTGATCATTTTTCAGAGTCCAGATGAGGCCAGACAAGATTGTAATCAATATTTACTAAAGTGGGAGCAGATTTTTCAAGCAAGCTACACAGCTAGCAGCTCCCAATAGAACAGGAGAAGACTGGCCCCAGCTGCGGGTGTTAATCTGCTTTGAAAATCTGTCCCTCGTTTTTTTTTTAGTACAGCATCAGCTATGCCACCACTATTCTCTTTTTCTCTTGTTATAACTTACAGTATTAAAATTTAAGAAAGGAAAAATATGTATTTAGCAAGCAGGTATTGGAAATAAACCAATCCTGGACAGGGACAAGAAGTCCAGCTTTGTGGGGTTTTAGTTCTAAAATGCTGTGCCTCTTGGCAAGCTACTGGGCATAATAAAGCTCCTGTAATTTATTTATGCCTTCCCAGCACACTGTACAAAGCACCTCCATCAAGGATGCTATTGGCTGAACTTAGGGCCCAAGGGAAGAGCTGCAAACTTGCTTGGCAGACCTGATTTCCATACCAGGAATAAAGGAATAGAAAAACTAATTAATTTTACTTATAAAAAGGAAGTCCATGTCAACAGTAAAACAGGAAAAGGGACATTCGTTTAATCTGAATTCATTTTTCAAAAGGAGAGAAGGGAAGCTTTTACCCTTAGGGTATCTGATACTTAAGTAGATAATTATCCTTCTTCTGCAGCACTGCTTTATTATCATGGGTCAACCAACCATTTATAAATGAAGAATTTCCCCTCACTTACCTCTAGCAAAACTGCTGCTTACATTAAGACAAGTCTTCTTTCCTCCTTTAGAATTTTTTCCCAGCAGTTTCTCGCCCTCTCAAACTCACACACGCTTCACCAGCAATTGTTTGTTCTCTACCTAGCTTAGGGCCACAGACACAAGTATGAATTTTTGCATTAATCATGGTTTCTGCAGCCTTATATTAACACTGTACTACTTGTCACTGTGATGCATTGTGAAAATCATGGGCTAAATGCTGCTTGTGAGAGCTTTTGTTTCCACAGCACATAGCAGAGGGAGAAGAGAGTGCAGTGTGAGCTGTGACCGAGACAGGACATCTGTTTTCTCTTCTTAATTCTGTCACTAATCCACTCTGTCATTTGGGCACATCGTCTCTGTACCTCTCTCTCTCCTCCTCCACACTTTATCTGTCTTCTCTGCTTAGATAGCATTTGCCAGTGGGTGCAGTGGATGTTTTCTTATTAAGCTGTGAGGCTCTCTGCTCATGTGGGGCTGCGAAGTGCTCCCGCAATATCAAATGATGCGCCCATAAACCATGTCATTCTGCAAAAAGGATTTTCAATTCCTCTTTATGTTATCAAGACTCATTTACAACTCAAACTAGATTTTAACCATATTTCTGTCTTTGAATGTGATAAATAATTCAAAGGCACAATCACATACTGAAGTATCTTTACTGAACTTTTCATCATTTCAAAATAATCCTACAAAGAATAATGATAGAAATTCTGAATCAGAGCTAAATTAACATGAGAATGTAATTAGGACAACATTCAAGTTGTATTTAACTATGAATAGACAAAAAGGCAAATGTTAGAATGAATGCATGGATTTGAGGTCATTAAGAAAACAACCATCCACTGCAACTTTAAATCATAGTTTTAAACAAGAGTTTTTAATGCTAGGATAGTTTTTAACTTTACATCCTGGTCAGATTTTAATCTGAACAAATGCTCTACTCCCCTCAAAATTCTTCCTAAGTTTAAAATTAGAAAATTGTTCATTGCTTTCTGCAATTACCCACTGCAAACACTGCTATGAACTACTGATGTGCTTCAGGTGACTGTGTATTAAAGATGTAAGTGAAAGTGAGTCTATACTTATGTCTACATGCAATTACTCCTTAGACAGAAGCATCTACTGCCATCTGAGACGCCTCGGGGCATCCAGCTGCCACTCCAGAAGGGCAGGAGTCTCCCATATGCCCTGTGCCTTATCTGTCAGCCAGGTAGGAAACCCAAGTCATCTGAGGGTATCTGAAATGGCATTAGGTGCCTATGTTTCGGCAGCAGACCCCACCTTTACTGAGTGGCTCAGCAGGACAAGGGGCTGATACCCAGCTGACGTGCCTCATGATTGGAGACAGCATTCTGCCTTCAGAAGATCTGAATTTTATGCTTCCTTTCTCTAACCACCATAATTAATAATTTCATGACTTCTTCATTCATTCTAAACCGCTACTGACTGATGAAGTTTCTATTTTTAAGCTTTGATGTGCACAGCTGTTATTTCCTTCAAATTCTCTGAGTCAGTCCACATCATTAGAGTATGTGCAACTTAATATGTCAACTTCTCCAATTTAAGGAGTGGAAAATCTTTACACTGTATTATAATCTGTGATTGTACGACCCTCTCTCTAGATCTTGCAGGAGTCTTTCAACAGCCTTCCTTTTTTTCCTAATACCTAAATACGTATACACAAATCAATATGCATACCCTCACACACACTAAAAGCTCCATTAAAGATTTATTAAACAATTAGGAATGTCAGTATTTTCCAAAGACTACCAGTAGATAGTAGACTAAAAGTCCAGGTATATTAATGGAAGTACATAACCATAAAGTAGCAGTAAAACAACAGTGGATCAGACCCATTACCCTCAAACTGAGCTAAAACCTAAGGATGACCTATGATTTCAACAAACTCACTTGTCCTTCTATATCGGGCACAGCAGCCGACTCCCTGCACAACGCTGGGTGGATTGTCTAATGCACTAAAGCCCATGAGCCTCCTCCATAATTCGTATTAACAGCCTCTGCCTGTTGGTCTATTAAGATTGTAACCTGTTTGGAAAAGCTCAGGCTTGTGGCCAAGCAAGCATGGTTCAACAAGTTTGTACACACCAGCAGAGCAAGGACACTGAAACACATGTACCAGCTCTCAGCCCTCAACAGTTAAAGTTGCACACATTTCTGTAAATCTTTTTCATGCTTTTATTGACCTTCTAGACCATAATAACTGGAGCCCTTTGAGACTGGCATTCAGAGTCATTTACTGCAATGCGGTTCTGCAATGGGCACACCTGGACACTGTCAAAAGCTATCTTCAGTCGTGTGAAGCACAGGTACAAATTCCCTTCCCACGTACATCTAAGCATTTAAGGATACGCTCACACTGGAGATGATGGGTCACTAGTAAAAGTGAGTGTTTGTTAACTGCATAGTGTCTTTAAGTTGATCATACAGAGAGGGCTTAGAATGTACAAGAAAAGCAAAACACACGGCCAGTATCTGCATGCTGACCGTTTCAAATGCAATTTTCTCTCCACTAATACACAGAGTGGAAGCTGAAATTCAAAGGCACAGTAGCAATTTTTATTTGCTTTAGCTGAATTTTGACTTTGAAGACTAAATTATTATAATTCTGTATTTAAGGTCTAAGCCAGGCTCTGTGCTCCCTTCAATGGGATTCTGAACAACCCCACAAAGTGCCCATTATAAATTTTCACACACAGCTATCAAGGTACACATGTTCTGTAGTTCTAAAATGTCAGAAAAACGGTCTTTGGGGGGTCAAAAAAAGAAAGAAAACAAAAAAAAAGAAA